GCTTTTATCCAAAGCGATTTACAAATGAGGACAATAGAAGCAATCAAAACCAACAAAAGAGCAATAATATGCAAGTGCTTTATTAGTATATTATTATAGTGTTATATTTTAATTTCACAAAGAAATGTGCAGCATTTTGTCCAAGCAATAATAAAAGGACACATTTAATTTATAATTTGTCTTAAATCTAATTTTGTTAAAAAAAATTATAATAATCGTGAATCGAATCGAATCGTGAAATCAAAATCGTGAATCGAATCGAATCGTGAGTTGAGTGAATCGTTACATCCCTAATGCAAAGCGAAATTTTCATCAGCTATTACTCCAGTCTTCAGTGTCACACAATCAGAAATCATTCTAATATGCTGATTTGGTGCTCAAGAAACTTTTTTTTATTATTATAAGTGTTGAGCTGCTTATTTTGTGTGTGTGTGTGTGTGTGTGTAAAAACAATCATACATTTGATTCAGGATTCTTTGATGAACAGAAAGTTCAAAAGAACAGCATTTATTTGAAAAATAAATCCTGTCTGTCACTTTAGAATTTAGTGCATCCTTGCTGAATAAAAGTATTAATTTATTTCAAAACAAATCTTGCTGGCCCCAAACTGTTGAGTAGTAGTGTATATTTCATAGTGTGACTGTTTCATATTTTAAACATAATTTATTTTCTTATAGTACTTTGTTTTATTTTGAGACAGAACTAGTCTTCAGCCATTTAAATTTTTTTCTCTTAATTATTTTATTTTTGATAATTAGTGTACTGTGAGAAACATGGGCTTTTAAACATTTTGCACTCGTTCCACTTTTATTGGTTTATGATATGATAAAAGCATGCGTAATAATGTCTGTGAGGTGTGCTTGCACAGAGAGCATGCTGATGCTGGCCAACTACATAGCAACAGCACCTCTGTTGGAAAATCACCAGCTCATAAGTTGTGTGGCCCACTTCTAAGAAGTCTGTTTGCATACAGAGACCGCCTTCATTTTGTTTTCATCATGTAGAAGAAGTTTTTTATGTACCAATGTGCCACATAGAGGTGCGATTTCAAAAGTGGGTCAAGTTCAACCACCAAAGCAATTGTAATCTCCTGTGTGAAGTATGATGAGCTGGTTTGCCAAGGCTTGACTCTGCTACTGCTGCTCTCCACCTCCTGCTGCCTCTTCTTTTGCAGAGCGATGATGAGGCAGCACCACGTGAGCTGCAGTTCTGCTCATGGCCCTCAGGCGTAGCCAGCTCATACACTGGGCTGAAACAAAAGCCTCTCTCGTTCTCTCTAGCTTTCATCTTCTCTTTACCTTAGTTTTTTCACATTTCATGTCTCGCTGTCTCTATTTCTGTCTCCCAGCCTGTCTTGTGTGATACAACGGTATGTTATAAGCTGCAAGTTCACACTGCTGCAGAAAAGGGAAGGGCCTGTGTATCTCCCCCACAAGGCCATCTGTCTCCAGCGCCTTATGCTAAACTCGGGGATATTCCCCTCCCACATTTCTCTCCTTTGCTTTCTCACATGCTAAACACATTTGAACAATATGTAGGTCACCTTAAAAAGAAAATGAAAATGGATCTCAGATGCTTCTCTTTTTTTTTTTTTACAGAAGTTCCCTCTGCGTCCAACTCGATATACCACATTAAATACTCCGGTTATACGGTTTAGCCAGATAACTGAGTCATCGTTGTGAGTGCATACCACTGACTTTCAAGCAACTGCTTGAGTTTCATTCCAGTTGTCCTGCATTTGCCTTTCGCCCTGCATTTGATCCCTTTAACGGACCCCTGTAAATCCATGTAATCTTCTGCAGTAACCTCAAACTGTTTAAAGATTTCTTTTCCCAGTTGACACGATTTGTACTGGGTACACTTGTGTATTTTTAAACTATTTTAAATGTTTTAATTTAAGTTAATTATTTTCTCAAATAATTTTATTAAAAAATGTATTAGATTTTTGCCTGCTAAAAGTTTTGCATTACTGTTAACCCTTCCGGGCTTTGTGCTCCCATCAGAACTTCATGAGCTTTGTTTATAGTCTTCTTGAAGGATGGAAATACTGTAAGTGTTACAGTCGCTTAAAGGCACAATATGTAATTTTCGCCGCTAGAGGGCGCGTATTCAAAATAAACAAAGAGACAAAGGCGTAGTTTGATGACGCCGTGACTGAGTGTGGAATCATGGGAGTTGTCGTCTTCATCCCCACAGCCGATGCAATCCGACGGGGCTCGGGCAGAAACCATGTTCATGGATGAGCTAATGATTTATTAACGTAGTAGAATGAAGCAGGGTGAGGCTGAAAGCCGTCGAAGCGAAACGAGGCCGCTGAATGAGCGTGACACACGGCTCGAAAGCAGCGGAGCTTTTATTATGCCACAGTCGACCGCTTCTGCTCCTTCCGGTCGTGCGTATGTGGGGGGAAAAAAGCAGCGCTGTTTTATCATAGTAGATACATTTGAAAGTTCTGTTATAATGCTACTCTGTGCGGTCGTCACCGGTCTATTAAAACGCACAACATATTAAAGCGTCTTTGGTGTTTCCATGTTTTCTACAAAACAAAACCGGAAATCGAGGGGTTATGACGTCATTGGCAGGCGACACAATGACACTATGGACACGGTCCGTGTCACTAGTTAAAATTATTTATTTCTCTGGATTTAAACATTCTTTTGAAACATTTGAGATAATGTAAGTACACAAGTCAGCAAAATATAACACTGTTCTAGTGGTTTTTGGATATTTTAATAAAAAAATCTTACATATTGTGCCTTTAAGTACAGCCATTCATTTACAGTAAATATATCTACAGTACCTTTCAGAAGTTTGGGATCAGTAAGGTTTTTTTTTCTTTTATTTAGCAAGAATGCATTAAATTGATCAAAAAGAACAGAAGTTTTCTAACACTGTAAAAGTCTCTACTATTTCAAATAAATCCTGTTCTTTTGAACTTTATATTTATCAAATTAAAAGATGTGTTTCCACAACACAAATTATTTTCAACGGATAATAAAAAGAATAAGAAGTTTCTTGAGCAGCAATTTGGCTTTGCCATCACAGGAATGAATTACGTTTTAAAATATATTAAAACAGAAATTGTAATAATATTTCACAATATTATTGTATTTTAAATCATATAAAGGCAGCATTGATGAGCATAAGACACTTCTTTCAAAAACATTTTAAAAATCTTACCAAACTCTTGATCGGTAGTCTATGGCTTTAATTTTTTAATTCCTTTTATGTAACATTATAGTCATTTTACATAGGAAATTAGGCCGCACGGACCCTAACAACAAACATTCACAAAGCATGTGACCTCCATGTGTTCATTGATTAACATTACTGACTGATAGATGAGCGTATGAATGTCCAAACTAACTGTGCGGCCCCTTATAAGCTCCAAGACCGTTGCACTCTATCTCAACCTCCTAAACTACATTTGTCCATTTTAAATTAATTGTTAAACGTATTTCCAGGTCATTTCTGTTTCAGATCCTCTCACTAATCCTAATTCCTTATCTCCCGTCTGAATTGGTATGTGCCCTCACACGTGAGCCGGATTCATGCCAAGAGCTTTATCCTCATACTGGAGTTCAGTGTGCGGGCCGCCTCTCCTCTGGGGAAATGCTCCCACGCTTCGCTGGCCTGGTCCCATAGGCCACAGAGTGCACCGCTGTCTGTTGTCTGTTGTAGGGTGGGGTGCAAAGCAGAGTCCCCCTTCCTCCAACCCACATCATTCAGCACTGAAATTGCTTTCTACAGGGCTTTACTCCATTTCGGCATTGTGTAAATAGTGTTAATTGTACACATGTGAGCGATAATAATGGAAGTTTTAACCCTAACTTAGGGTGAATGCCATCCCTGCTGTGCTTGGCAAAGGCAAACTCACGGCTAAATGTTTCTCATTCCAAAAATGGCAGCTGACTGCACCAAATGTAGGTCAGCTAAGAATCGCCAGTTGAAATGAGTGCATTTTTTAACTGTAGTCAGACACAGACTGCAAAACGGTCACACTGCTGGATTGGGTTTGAGCCAAGCACTTTGTAGTTTCATTGTAGATGATATTATTAGTGCTGCACCATCTACTTTGATTGCAAATGAGGTTTTTGCAAGCAGCAGTATTTCCCCCTTGATGAAACCAAAATTCAGCACACTTATTTTTTTTTTTGTCATCAAAGAAGAGAGAGTGCACACAGAGGTGCTGAAAGCAGTTGGTTATGAGGGTGTTTTGTAAGAAAGGTGACTATAAATCGAGTTAAAGCACTGCAGTTTTTATGTAGCATCTCCTTTTATTTAAGTAATGAAGAAAAAAACGTACCTTCTCTTATCAGCCGCTTTGACACTTATTTATAAATTTAGAAGTTTTCTAAACCGGGCAAATTAAAAAATAGGTGAAATTTCACAACCAAAATCCAGTCATTTCAATAGGACTCTGGGAATTTAAAGTAAGAGAGAAACATTTTCTCAGGCAACTTTCATATCGGTTATTTACACAAATTTGCCACTTTGACCAACAGAATGCTGCTTGTTTTGAAAGTGATTTCTGTGTGAGCTGTGGTTCTTTGCTGATGAAATTTTGCTAATGTGACCATACCTTTATGCTTACAAAAATATGAAATTCTTTTTCAGGATCGCAAGTTGTCCAAGTCAGAGCGGCAGCGTTTTAAAGAGGAAGCCGGAATGTTGAAGGGTCTTCAGCATCCCAACATAGTACGCTTCTACGACTCCTGGGAGTCATCCTTGAAAGGGAGGAAGTATATTGTCCTGGTGACTGAACTCATGACATCTGGGACACTCAAGACGTAAGTGCTCTTATTTATTCTTGTCGGGTTTTTTTAAGCTATCACCTGCTATGATTGACTTGTTTTCTGTGCCCTTGTAGGTATCTAAAACGGTTTAAGGAGATGAAGATCAAAGTCCTGCGCAGCTGGTGCCGGCAGATTCTGAAGGGGCTGCACTTCCTTCATACCAGGTCGCCTCCCATCATCCACCGGGACCTCAAGTGTGACAACATCTTCATCACCGGACCTACCGGATCTGTCAAGATTGGAGACTTGGGCCTGGCTACCCTAAAGAGGACCTCCTTTGCCAAGAGCGTCATAGGTACGGCTAAGTATTTGCAACTGCATTATCGCCTCCAAATCGAAATCCATTCGAATTGTCCAACTCAGATTTGTGGTTGGGGGAAAGGCAAATCCTTCATTCCATGTTTCTTTTTCAAGTTTCTTTTCTTCTTCTGCTTCTTCTCAAAGCGTGTTTTAATGACAGTGGTGAGAAAGCAGACCACAGCGTTTCCCTGAGCGCTCGAACCGCAGCAAACCAGGGCTCCCGCTTTATGGAAGATGTCTCTTGACACCCTCCTTTAGTTCAAACATAGTTTTTGTCTTTTCTTCTGCCACAATTTCAGGTACCTACAGACAGAGTAAGTAGTTGTGGAGCGGTTGTAGGTATTTTGTGACTCGTCTGCAGGGAAACCTGATCTGATCTTGGGATAACACTAGAGCTAGAGCTGAGCCCTGGGCTGGCAGGTACCGTGAGTGATCTTTTGCTCTGGTTCGGAAATTTGTGGTCTGTTTCTTCAGTCAACCATGATTTAATGATGATGATGCTAATGAATCTGTTCATTTTTCCCCCCACAAGGAAATGCTTGTTTTCTTTCAGTGTGTCAGTGTCTGGAGCTCAAAGCCTTAAACTCTCTGCTCATCTCCCTCATACTTTTAGCTTTAAGATCTTTGTGTTTTTTTTTGTTTTGTTTTGGAAGCCTTAGGCTCTAATTTCAGGTCTCCCCTTATTCTACTTTAAGGATTATTTAGTGTACTGCAGTACAGACAGTAAGTACGCAGAAATGAGCCTGGTAAGTCCACCAGTATTATGTGACACATATCAGTCTGAATCATTATCAATATGGGAAGTTTGTCTGTGTGAGACCTTTGTCAATGGGTAACTTGGTTACTAGTTCTCCTGGTGCACAGAACATCACTTTTCAGTAAGCTATGGAGTGTAAAATGTTTGAATTGCTCAACCTTTTCTCTTCACAGGTTAACCCAAAGGTAGGACTTTTTGAAAGGTTTGTTTTCCATAGCTAGTGTTTCGGTTTGGTCTTGTGGTAAAGCATCGGGCCCTCTGACCACGGACTTGTTTTAAACTTGCTGTTTGGGCTAACAACAACAAATATGTTGATTTCTTAAATTTATTCTGTATTGTTTAAAATCACGTGGTCAGTCCAGGCCTTTGAGTGAGTGCTGTGCACTAGTTTGGTTTTTCTCATACACAGTCCTGCCCTTGAAGGTCTTACACGGAGAAACTTGGGCTTATTATCATTGCAGTCTAACTGAGTGCAGTTTCCCCTTCCTCTTTTTTTTTTTTTTTTTACTTTCTATCCCCTTTTTGCTCTTCTTCCCTCTACCTCTCTCTTTTCTCGCAGGTTGTGCCCGAGCAGTCTTCAGCGACAGCATCATCTTCTTCTCACCTCTTCACTGAGAGGGTGTAATAGGGTACTGAGAGAGTTCTGAACCATTCTTTTAATTTAAGGTACCCCTGAGTTCATGGCGCCTGAGATGTATGAGGAGAAGTATGACGAATCGGTGGATGTGTATGCCTTTGGGATGTGTATGCTGGAGATGGCTACTTCTGAGTATCCGTACTCCGAGTGTCAAAATGCAGCTCAGATCTATCGCAGAGTCACCAGCGTAAGTCCACACTTCACCGGCGGAGGAGAGTGTCCCCGCACACTCATCCTCCCTTTGTTTGCTGCACTATTTTAGTCTTTTTACCCCTTTTTTGCCCTCTGTGGGGGTGTTTCCTTTCTGCTTTTTTCTCACACAGTGGTAAGTTGGTTTTTTACCTCTACCAGTAAATGCTGAAGCCTCTCACAAAACCAGTACTGACATGATGTAACCTAATGGTATCAGACAGATTTAGACTTAATTCAAAATGTAGTATTTTTGAGAAAATCCAGCCCCAAGTTAAAGCCATCTCTGCTTTCTACGCCAGTGATTTGATTGTTTCCTGTGCTGTGTTTACAGGGGGTGAAGCCTGGCAGTTTTGACAAAGTGGCTATTCCTGAAGTGAAGGAGATCATTGAGGGTTGCATACGTCAGAATAAAGACGAGAGGTGGGCTGACATTTACCAAGCATGAGAGTTCAGTTGTCGTATTGTCATAAGGTCTAGTTTTCACAACCTGTTTTTCTTTCTTGTCCACTGGAAATTTATGGTAAGGTATTTTTAGTGTTTCATTAGTTACATCACAGTATAATATTGAACAGGCTGTACTTCAATCCTCATTTTCATATGTGTCATATGAAAACCAGTGTCTGATTTTGAGATCTATGTTATTACCACACAATTATTGAAAAATGTCTTTAATCCAGTTTTATCACATGTAAGGTCATAAAATATCTGCAATGTCTTTTACATGCACGTTCTTAACCTGGCTTAAGCCAGCAATACATGTGGTTATGTGGTTACATCAGAATGAGAGGAGAATGAGTTTGAACAAGTTCCCACTGACATTTTGGATGCTTTATTTAACATTTAACATGAAATACTCCCGAGTCAGATAAACAAATGATTATGTTTTGATGTCACTACTGAGGAATAAACTGATTTTTCAAAACATTGCCATATTATCAGTTTGTATGTAAACCAGTAAAACAGACTCACACCATGTCCTAACTACACGCGACGTGACAAGATTCCAGCAACAAGCCATTTGGGTGTCCACACTTGACACGACACCGCGATGTGACAGAATCAATCAAATATCACAGCCAATCAGAAGCGTGTGTGGGCGGGCTCTCTCTGGAAGAACTCTGCAATCACAACGAAATAAGTTTATGGTCTAATTCATAAATATTAAACCTTTTTAACATCATTAAATGTACATACTGTCTGATACCATCTTTGTTATGGAATACGCTTGTTGGTTCGCAGTGAGTTCACAGTTTTAACGTACATCTTTGCTTTTATTTTCAAGATCTAAGGTAAACTATCTGTTGTTGCTTTCAGTATGGCTATAAATGCCACCCAATATGACATTCAAACTCGCATTAGACACATTTAACTTTGAATAAAGCACACAATCAGTACCTGAGATTATCACTGTCATATATTTTGTATGTTGTTGTTCCAGCTGCGACGTGACGGAAATGGAAACAGTTTCTAAAATAGAAATTTCGCGTGTCGCCGTCGCGGCTAGTTAGGACAAAAACTCAGATTAACATGGAAAAAATAGCCTTTGTCGCGGCATGTGTAGTTAGGACACGGTGTCATTGTACGAGTTTTTAAAATTTGGGAATGAAAAAAACATGTTGCAATAAAAAGCCTAATGTGATTATTAAACTTCAAAAAGCTATGAGTAGTACTTCACGTTTCAGAGTAAAAACACAGCACTTTTGTGCATTGCTTGCAGTTTCAGAGCAGTTCGCCATCAAAGAGTACAGCACATTTATTCTGAACAGTTGACTGTTAATGGATAATGACAGTGTTTACTTTATGGTGTTTATATTATAATGTTCTAGATGATATAAGAGTGCACGTTATATTTTCATATTTAATGACCTGCTGGAAGTAGTAAAGCTTAGACATTTCAAAATACAAGACCTGGTGTATTTCGTGCTTGTTTATAATTGAAAGTCCTGCTTTAGACATACAATTGTATATCTGCTTATTATTGGTATTTTTATTACACAATAAGCTGTCTACCCTGTTGTCATTTCACAATAAGCTGTTTGACTTCTCTTGTGGCTTCTCTTTGGGTTGCCCCATCACAGTTAGGAAATACTTATTTATTATATTTAACACATTCAGTACATAGATTCACAAGATGGGCACAATATTCTGTTTATTTCTTGTCTTTAATCAATATATTGATATGTTCTTATTAATTATTGGAACAGGTCTTAAATTAAATTTTTTCTTTTTTTTTAGGTATTGCATCAAGGACCTCCTAAGTCATGCGTTTTTCCAGGAGGAAACTGGGGTTCGTGTAGAGCTGGCTGAGGAGGATGATGGAGAGCTAGTGTCCATAAAGTTGTTGCTGCGCATTGAGGATGTAAAAAAACTTAAAGGGAAATACAAAGAGAATGAAGCCATTGAATTTTCCTTTGACTTGCATAAAGACGTCCCAGATGACGTTGCCCAAGAAATGGTAAAGATACTTGGATTTCTGTTCTGTTACCCAACTACAGATTCAAATCGGTTGATGGTTTGAATCTGTAATTGGTTCATTTTTTGGCCTTTCATGTAATTATCCATATATAGTTATTCTGCAGTCTTTCAGTGCATAAAAACCCCTGAAAGTCTGCAGAATTCCCCCTGGCCTTCTTATAATATTGACCTGTCATTGTCTTTGAAGTTAAATTCTGAGTAATCTTTTTCTTCAAGGTCGATTCGGGCTATGTTTGTGAGGGTGACCACAAGACCATTGCAAAGGCCATAAAGGACAGAGTGTCCCTGATCTCCCGTAAGAGAGAGCAGAGAAAACTTGTGAGAGAGGAACAAGAAAAGAGGAAGATGGTGCAGGAGAATGACCCCTCGCACCTTGGACCGCATAGCGACACCACAGCCAAGCCCCCTGGTCCCGCTCTGGCCTCGGTCATTATGGAGTCTGAAGAACATGAAGCAGACCAGCAACTGCAGCAGCCTGGGGCCTCTGCTTCCAGTTAGTGTTGCAAAATGAGTCGTTTTGCTCTAATAAGATACAAAAAAATGTCAAATGTGTTTGTATGGGAAAATGCTCTGAAAGTCTTATTGTCTCACAACTGTAGGTTTTGTGGACCCTCAAGGTTCAGCGTCTGTCCCTGAGACTCACCCTGCCCAGCCAGGCACATCTTTCAGCACCGTGCAGCCTGATCCACAGCCACAGCACCCCATGACCCATCCACAAAGCATGGTCATTTCCTTTGTATTTTGTTACCTGACCTGGTTTTCAGAGCTAGACATGTTAATCTGAAGAAAAAAAACGTGTTTCTTTGCTTTCTCCACTAAATTGCTTCTCCTCAACAGTCCCAGCACCCAGCCCAGGCCCCTCTGCAGCAGCCGAGAAGTACTTTGACCCCGGGTCCCACCGCTCAGACTGGAACTGTGGCCACACCCCAGGTACACTTCATGTGATCCATAACATGAAGACAGAAACATCTTGCTCTATATATCTGTTGTCTGTTAAACATAAACCAGAGTTAAACATAAACAAGAGTATACATGTACTCCCCTCTTAGGTGATGGGTCAGGCGGCCGCTCTGCCCTCTGCCGTTCAACCTACCGTCCCCTTGCAGTACCATCAGCCACCTCAAGATGGCAGCGCCCCCCCTCCAGGCCCTCAAATCTTACAGGTACAGTATGAAAGGTGCCCTCTGGTTGCTTAATGAATGTTGTGTGTGCTTGCTTTGCGCACAACATCCAACTTCTTGGCAGTTCATACATTAATGCTACTGTTCTTTGCTTATCCATCCTTTTCTTGCATGCTGGCTGCTCTTACATGCTTGTCAGATATGGGCATGTCAAGTCAGCCCTCCTGTTTTCTCACCACCTCCAAATGCTGAACAGCTCTATTTTCTATATCAGGCCCGTCAGGTACTAGTCGTGCCTAACACTGTGGTGTGTGAATTAGCGGTTTGCCAATGTGGGTTTTTAGTGCTGATAATAATATCTACAGTGCAGATGACTGATATAATGCTTTTACATATAATGTGCATTTAAAAATATAGTTTTGTTTTATAGTTTTTACATAATATTTTTTTTAATGTATTTATAATGCTAAACAAAAAAATATTAATTGACAAGTGTGTTGGTAGATGCATAGTTTTCAGTGAAGTTTGAGTAAATGTTGAAAATGTCAGTAATTTAGTGTACTCTACTGTTCGAATATTTGGGGTCGGTATTATTTTTAAAAATGTTTTTGACTGTTTTATGTCTATTTTATTTGATTAAAAATACAGTAAAATCAGAATAATTATTACAATTTAAAATAACTCTTTATATTTGATTCTTTTTTAAATGTAATTCCTGTGTTGTTCCTGTAATGGCGAAGCTGAATTTTCAGCTTCAGATTGCATCCACATTGCATCAGTTTACAACAATGCCTCCCTGTGATTGTGTGTTATGAATTAGGGCTGTCAAAATGGCTGAAAAACTAAATTCGAAATTTTCACTTCAATATTATCTATATTCAAATTTAAAAGGCATAATTTCAGTTAGGGGCAAAAAACCTAACGCCACAAGAGGGGGCATCGTGCAAAATATGGTTTAGTAAAGCAATAAAATAACATGGCTATCTGTGAAAATTTGCATAATGTTTGTTTGCTTAAACAATTATAAACAAAATAGCATCATGTATGCATAGTTTAATACAAAGAGACGAAAGCCAATCACACAGTACTTTTTTCATTTATGGAAAGAAAACAGCCATAATGTCTCGAGACATTTTTTTAAAAGTTAAACTAACATTAATTTTACATGGCTTTCTAAACATGCAGCTCTCTTGTGCAAGATGCGAGTGCAACGGTGATAAATGCGCAAAATATGCGTTCTGTGTGATCGGCCCTGTTTCAGTTTTGACGTAATTAAGATCTCCGCATTGATGTTCTCTTTTCTTGCAATATTTTGAATGAACAACACAGGAGCGCTGCATCTAACTGGATAGGCTAACAAAAACATTAAAAAGCAACGACACTTACATCGTCATTGCATTTCGTGCACCACTGTTAAGGCTGCCTGATGCACACCAAAAATTCGAATGCAACGTTTTTATTTTAAATTATAAATATTTGAATTTTTATTTGACAGCCCTATTATGAATGCTTGTGATTTGGAGTCAATGGCATTCTAAAATTCTAAATCAGTTCTCTATTACAGGCACCACTGACCGTGTCCCAACCGCAGCCAGTAGAGCAGTCACAACCTCAAACATCTCTAGTTCCAGCCTCCACAGAAAGGTGAAACATCTTTTTTATAATTCATGTTTATTAACATTGACATTCCAGTAGAGAGAAGTTGAACTACTGTTGTTTTTGGTGCCCTCAGTGGTCACTCCGATGCTGCTTCTGGTCTGAGCGATGGGAATGAGGGCAGGCATGAGGGGCACTCTATGAAACGACCCCAGAGCCGCTCTGTACGCAGCCATTCACGCCACGAAAAGATGGCCAAGGCCAAGCTCAAGCTCAATGTACTGAATGTAAGCTATGCTCAAATCTAATTTGATTTGTTTTTAATAATGGCATCACATTACATTTTGGTGTATAGTTTACTATAATAACAGTGTGGGGTTATTGATCTGTTTGTTTTTGTAGATTTCTAATATTGGGGACCGAGTCGCTGAATGTCAGCTGGAAACCCATAACAGGAAAATGGTCACATTCAAGTTTGATTTGGATGGAGATAATCCTGTAGAAATTGCTGAAATTATGGTAAACCTTTCTCTTACTTTCACTTTTTTCAGTGGATTGATTGCCAGAGACTTCTTCATTTGAAATTATAATGATATTTATTAAAGTATGTATTGGTTTTTTGTTTGTTAGTTTTTTGCATTTAGCATTTTATGCATTAACATTTTGGCTCTCAATATCCAGGATGTTTAACTTCTTAAAATATTTCATAAAATTTGATTGTAACTTGTGTGTGTGTAACTTCGTTTCAAGATCAAAAGTGATTTTATCTTGGAGAGCGAGCGGGAATCCTTCATAGAGCAGGTTCGAGATGTCATTCAGATGGCAGATCAGAAAGGAAAAGCTCAGAAAAATAGCCAAAATCAGGTATGTTTGATGATTTTTCAGACCATAAGAACAAATGTGAGAAATGATTTGAAGACTACAAATTAAATTTTCCCATTACTTCAGGTAAGCAGTAATTTGGGCCAGCAAGTACCTGAAATTTCAACATCCAGTGTGCCTGGTAAGTGTACTTTGTGGTGATGTTCTTACATTTTATCCGCCCCTGTCTTGCAACTGGTCTCATTTGACATATTTTGCATGTAACAGGTGTGCCACCTAGCGTAGCAGCACAGGTTGTACATTCAGCAGGCCGGCGCTTCATAGTTAGCCCAGTGCCTGAAGCAAGACTTTGTGAGCCGTTTTTTGGACCTCCTTCTGCAAACACATCATTTGAAGACTCTACACCAGGTCTGATTTACACATCCTCAAATAAAAGTGCTTAAACGTGTATATCAAGTAGGGCTGAACGATTTTGGAAAATAATCAAATTGCGATTTTTTTTTTACCAATATTGCGATTGCGATTTAATATGCAATTATTTTTTTTAAAGCTCTTTATGTTCTGTATTATTCAACAAAGACAAGCTATAAATCATTGTACACCGATCTGATCTTCAAGTCGAACACCCCTCTTTACTCTCGCGTGTCACGTGACCGTGTAATCGCAGCCTCTGCGATTGAAAAATCGCGTTATTTCATATCGCGATATTATCGCAAATGCAATTAATCGTTCAGCCCTAATATCAAGTATTTGATATGTTGTGTAATGTTTCATTTGTATTTGCCACGTAATAGCCAATGAAGCTGATATGACAATAAATTTAAATACAACCAACCAATATTAAGACTGATTCCATGTATTCTCACTTCCAGCATCTGATCCCACACCAGCCAGCAGTGTTCAGCAGGACCAAGCTAGCTTTGCACCCGGCTCAGCCCAGATTTCTGTAGTACCACCCACACCTGGAGGTCATGCCCCAGAGACTTCTCAATACCAGAGCACTGTCCCAGCAACCACTGCAACTCTGACAGCAGTCACCACTCAAGTAACCACTCCTACACCATCTACCACTCAGCAAACCAGAACAGGGAGGATGTCTCCTTCTCCAGCCCCAACTGAATCACCAGCTCCACGTCGGCTGTCAATTCCCACCACTTCCCAAACTCCTCAAAATGTTGTGGCTGAGAGCAATGGCTTGGATCAAGCTCAAGCCGGTATCCAACAGGTGCAAGTCGGCCCCTCCTCTGTCCCTGTGACGCAACCATCTGCGACAGGAGATGGTGAGAGTGATGTACAGGGGAAGCCGCCTGGAATTGAAGACATTCATGCTTTAGATCAGAAGCTGCGTTCCCTTTTCAATGACTCCTCCCAGAGCTCCTCCAACCAACCTGATGGATCTGGAGAGACGTCTACATCCTCTCCACCCAACACTATCAGCACTAACACTCCTGGTTTTGTCTCCGGTGCGACGCCTACCAGTTTGTCTCTCAGTTCCAGTGGGAACTTTGCACCTGGTGCTTTTGCCTCTATTGTGACACCTACAAGCTATGCCCAGACACCATCTGCAGATCCGTCCCCACAAAGGCCACAGGTGGGGGAAGTTACTAACTTGCTGATTTAGTGTCTATGTTGGTATTTGGATGACATGATGCTCAATTTTCTTTGGTCTAAATTAATTCATTTATTCAAAATGGCATTCATACCTGTTATTTTATTTTTTATATTAAACTATAATAAAAATCGAATTTAATATTAAACTATTCATAAAAATAAAGCTGAAATAAAATACTAAAAGAAAATTAGAAATGTAGCTTTATTTTAAATTAAAAATAAAGCTACATTGAAATATAATAAAATGACAAAAGCACATAATAAAATTACTAAAACCTATACTAAAACTAAAATACAAAAAAAAAAAACTGTTATAAATATAAATACTATAATAGTGTGTATATATAGTACTAAAATTACACTGATTCATACATGACTTCAATACGCCTCTTCTATGATGTTTTTAACATTTAAAAAAAATTATATATAATTTTTGTTGTAAACAAAACTGCTTATGAATATTTAAAAAAAGAAGACGTGGTGCAACCAACATGCAAGGTAAAAATTTATATCTGCAGACTCTCAAGACAGTAAGTCAAGTGTTAAAATATTACATAATTTAACCTTTTTATGACAGGTTGAATGTCATGTAGTGAAAATAAAAGATTAAGATGTGTAAATATTCGCATGTATTCTAAATGCAAGGAAAATACGTTGTAACTTTTTACTTGCTGGTTATACTACATGACATTTTTCGTGTCATTAAATGTAAACATCTCTTAAAAATGATATGAAAGTGTTTCAAAAACGAATGAAACCATTTTGAATACAAAGAATACATTTTTAAAATCTTAGCGCATGTATTTTTAACTAGATTTTTAATTCCTTTTCTTTACTGTAGACAGTCTTTATTTGTCATTGACCTTTTAAAATGGTACATAGTATTTTACACTCATTTATATTTATACACACATTTTCTTTTACAGACCTCTGTATCTGTAACTCAACCAGATGGACAGACCATCGCTGAGGAGAAAGAGCCAGCAACATCACCACCCAAGAAAGCTTTCAAACTTGGCCGATTTCAGGTGGCTTAATATACTTCTCAGTGTGCACTAGGCATCGGATTTTATGCACTAGGCATTTAGATTTGTACAGCAAGATCATGTACATCCTCGTTCTCCATTTCAGGTTTCTGTGGCCAGTGATCAAGACCCAGGCACTGCTCAAGATCCAGCAGTCATAGTCTCATCTTCCTCCATCACCCCATCTTCAACAACATCATCATCATCCTCTTCCTCATCATCACCATCATCTCTCTCTAGCCCTGAAAACACTGTTCATAAATCTCAGATCCCTCCCAGGGTCAGCCCTGAACCCGTCCCATCTACCACTACAGTCGGCCGCTTTCAGGTGACATCTAGCACTGACATCAAAGTGGGCCACTACTCAGTGACTCCAGCAGAAGGAAAGAGCTCCTCCATAAGCTCTGCTGAGGGACCAGACTCCGCTAAAGAGTCTAAAATGACCCCTTCCAGCGTGTCCATCACGAATCACTACCTCAGCAGTGACAACGACTCGGAACCAGAAGATGAGGGCTTTAAACGAGAGATGAACAAGCTCAGGGAGAGGTACTTGTGTTTTCTGTGAGCTCATTACTGATAACTGTGTATCTTGTGATCACCAATTGAACTTTAATTTTTTTTGCAGACATATGGGTGAGATCCAGGTATTACAGAACAAACAGAAGGAGGAAATCGAGGAACTCTATACACGTCTGGGCAAAATGCCGCCCTCTGTGGTGATCCCTCCAACCGTGGCCATTGCAGCAGGCAGAAGGAGACCCACTAAGGGCAAGGGGACCAGGTCAAGAAGTGGTAGTGGTACTGGTTCTTTTCAACAAGGTATCAGGGCTTAGTGATTTACATCCAACTGTAACATGAGCTTGTGAAAAATTGGCATGATAAATGTAGTTTGGTTTTGTCTAGGGAACAAACAAGCTGTACAGAGTGGAAGTTCAGTCAATCAGTCAGCCACTGGAAAGACTGAAACCATACCAGGCTTAAACGTTCATGTGCAAGGTAGGACTTTCACCATTTTATTTAGAGAATTAGTTTTCTTTGTTTTCTCAAAATGCTCAAGTTTTTCTAATCGGTGAATATTAATTGTGGCATACAGGTACCACAAGTCCAGTGAGAGAAGAGAACGGACAGAGCCATGACCAGGACCAAGCACCTGCTGCTAATCTGCCACACAAGGGCACATTCACAGCTGACCTCCATCAGCTGGTTGATAACTGGGCCAGGGATGCCAAGAACAAGATGCCACAGGTCAAGAAAGGCTCCAAAAAGAACTCTTACTATGCCAGAAAAACTACACTTAATTTTCATTTAGATGTAGATTATCAAAGGATGCGAGATAGTAAGGCTGTAATTGCCTTTTAAAAAACAATAAAAAAATGCATGCCATCTTTCTGCTTAGAAATGTAACATGGTCAAGTGGTTTTGGAATAGAATGTTTATTTTACTTTTTTTTTTTTTTTTTTATAATTTATAATATAATTCAATTTTGTTTTCAAATAAAATATATATTTTAGACTATAATACATTAAAAAAAAACATCTAATATTGCAGACAGTAGCTGTTTCCATCACCCTGTTTTAATGTGCATTTTGAGGTATTGTTAGACTATAATACATTAAAAAAAAAACATCTAAGATTGCAGACAGTAGCTGTTTCCATCACCCTGTTTTAATGTGCATTTTGAAGTATTGTTATACATTAAAAAAAAAACATCTAAGATTGCAGACAGTAGCTGTTTCCATCACCCTGTTTTAATGCGCATTTTGAAGTATTGCATCAGAAACAAGTGATGGAAATGCCAAATTTCAATAAAAGAAAAAAAAAAACTTTAATTTGCAAAACAGTTTTTACACTTGCTTGAGGTGGTTTTTGTCTTGTGCGATAAAGGGTTAATGCGAATAATGGGAGATGGAAAAGCATTTGCCGAATAAATTCCTCCATGTGCATTAAAAAAAAGTCATGTGACTTTGCGCAATGGGATGGCATAACCTGACTAACCAGTGGACCGATCTTGTTGCACAGCATCTGAAATGTTGTTATGGTCATTCTGAAATGCCCGAGCAAAGTCTGTCGTCAAAGTATTTCTGTATTATTGCCTCCCAGAACCGTTACACGACTGCGTTTCCAAACAGCAGGCATCCACGGAAACAATGCCTGCATTCATTGTTTCGTCTGCTTGCTCTGAGACGCAAGTCATTTATTATATATATATATAAAAATTATTATATTCAGTGGCTTCTCCCACTTTTCTTTGTGATATTTAGGGCCAGTTTATCAAGAAGTGACGATTTTGTTTTCTTTGACTTTTCAGATGGAAACGGTGCTTATTCGCAAATATTTAATGCGACATTAAACAATTAAATTCGCAACTTTGGATGGAAACCCGGCTAATGTAGTTTCAAAAACTTATTTTACCCCAATTTTTGAGTGTGTTGGACATTGTTATGCTTATTAGAGTATCTTGCTGTTAGCTTAGCAATATGCTAATGTCACACTTTATTGAAATCATCTGGGAGTCAGACCTCGGCAGGTTTTGGTACAGAGCTTTAGTCTTTGACATAAATCCACCAATGTTAAAGCTGGCATGAAATGAGAATTCTGTCATTTTTGTAAATGCTTGTTATAATTTGTATTGTGAATGATTCATGAATGCAAATGTTTTAACAAAAAAAATGAAATCAGTATTACTTAAAAACTCAATCTGGTGACCTGTGCCAGCCTTCTACAATCATTCAATTTGTTTAAACCCTGCCCCTCCACTATCGACTTCAAGCTTGCATTCATTTTTAAGTGCAATGAATTAAACCAAGTCTCTGCCCTATACTATTTTTCTTTTTCTATAATGCAATCAGATGGGTGACAGTACAGAAAAAAAGATCTGTCGCTATTTCTGTTTCATTGCACCTTTAACAGTGGGCCTGCACAGTGATATACAAAGTAGCTCAGTACATTATAGTGTTATTCAGCATGGCTGTAACATTATATTGACGAATCAAGATTTATTTATATAAGTACTAATCAAAGCCAACTGTCTTCTTCCTCAGATGCCACGTAAATACTCTGCACCAGGTCAGCTTTGTTCCATGGGTGGCCACATGCCAGCCACCATCAACCCTACAGCCGGGCGGAAGGGTTCACTGTGTGTGCCCAATCAGCAGTTAGGCTACACCTGCCCCACCTATAGCATGCCCCAGTGGGCTCAGACAAGCCCGCTGTCATCCACCGCTCCCCCCGCAGGACTACAGCAGGGCTTCCTCATACCCTCAGGAGCTCACCAGTCTGGAAACAGCTGCGGGTCAACCAATCTACGCACCACTCAGGCGAGCTGAAACAGCAGGGTTGGTTCAAGGAAGGGAAAAGCTGTGCCTCGTGGGGTTGAGATTATCGGACCTAGTCCTTTACATGGACGTGTTTTATCCGACAGTTTACATTGGAAAGACTTTCAGGTCCATATAATGTGACTCGGGTTATTCGAATCTGCTATTTAAAGACTGAGATGAATGTGTACATTTGATAAAGAGGCGCAGGAAGGGTTAAACTGGTTTAAGTCGTCTTAAACATAAGATATATAGCCTTATAGTACGGATACCGTCCTTATTGTAATAAAGTCAGGCAGTGAAATACAGGGATGGTGTTGCAGTTTACCTACAGAAGAGTTAGTGGATGAATGGAAAGAGAAGACCACCACCAACACAAGCCTGAACGAGTGTATCCTACATACGAGTCTAGATTGTTGGAAGACGGATAAAGAAGGTAGGAAGGAAGGAATGTTAGGAGTAACGACATTTTAGAGACAAGTATTGGGGGACTTCTGTCCTAATTTGCTTAAGTTGGGCTTTGAAATGAAAGGAAGAGAATGTGCAGTTGAGGGAGATTTAAGCAGGGTTTTATAGCTCTTCGTACTTGTATGTATTTCATAGCATTGTTAATTCGTGGCTTTTTTTTTAATATCATTTATGATGAGCTTACAATAATACAGTGTATCTTATATAGACATTCACCACTACTCCCTGTCCAACCCCTTGTATGTAAGTGGATAGAAAGCTTAATTTGGATGAGAGTGAGCATCCTGTATGAAAGCACATTTCTTCGTCCAATCACATGTTGCTTTCAATTTGAATTAAGCTAGCCTTAAACCACAGGATTATGTCTTCCCCATCTTTAAAATGTCACACAACCATCAAAGCCCTTGCTGTAGTAAATGAAATACTTGATCTTTGTGGTGAAAAGATTTAATATGGTGCATTTGACTGCAGCAACATAGAAGTACAGTATTAAACTACAGCACCTCATTACCAGTTTGTTAAATCACTCCCCCAAACCATTTTTTCTATACCACAAATTGAGTGCCAATCGTTTGCGGAAGTGGCGTCCCGTCACCTCTAAAATGATCCGCTTGACTTCTCTAGAGAAGGTAAATGTTACTGCAATGCAGAAAACACAGCGTTTAAAGGTTTAACCAACCAGGGAGGGTTTATTTGTTACTTTTGATACTTGAGTGCACAGATTTGAATCCTTTGTAATTGACCAAAACCGCATTTAGACCGTTAAAACCGTTGAAATACCACTAATCACAGTCACACGATCCCGTCACATAACTGAAATTCTGAAAACTGCATGGTTTCACAATCCACAACTCACATGTTCCCATAAAAAAACAGCATTAAATTTGTGGGGTCAAAAATTGCTGCTGATGTTTTCTTTCAAAAAGCTTCCATCCAGGGTCCTTTTGTTGATTATCTATGGTTTTGTGTAAAAAAAAAAAATGTATATATATATATATATATTCAAATGCTTAATAAAACATTTTGGTCTTTTCCTCCTCCCACTACATTGTGCTTTTTCTTACAAAGTGTTTTCCAGAATTTTACCCGCAGCTTTTCACATCCCCTGCCGTCGGCTACCAATAAAAATAGTAAAATGTGGTAAAATAACTCAGGAATACCATTTCAATCCATTCAAGATTTTTATTCTCAGAAAATCAGAAATACAGTTTTAAAAAGTCATGCTTCTGTTTTGATTTAAATTACAAATTAGGAGGTTCAGTCAAAAAAGACAAACAAACATTTATTAGTTTTTCATATTCACAAATTAGTATAAACAAATCTAAAAAGATTTCTAAAAGAAAACTATAAATATTTAAATTCATTACGTGTCCAGTCTTCGTTTCTTCATCATCTGGCTGTGTCTGTATGGGCTCTGTGGTTCACCTTCAACAATTACATTTACAAAATCATTAAAGGGGTCATATGATGCGATTTCAAGTTTTCCTTTCTCTTTGGAGTGTTACAAGCTGATTGTGCATAGATAAGATCCCTGAAATTGCAAAGACTAAAGTCTCAAAACCAAAGAGATATTCTTTATCAAAGTTAAGACTCTGCCACACCCCCCTAAAACGGCTCGTTCTAACACGCCCCCACATATCTACCTCACTATGTGGAAATATTAGCATAATGCCGCCCAAATGTGCACGCAAAGAAAGAAGGCGTGGTTTCAGTAACCGCAGTTAGTGTTGAAGCAGCATGTCAGGGAGACGCTGTGTTTCTAGGCGAAAGCAAAAGCACTTTACTTGGCCTTCCGAAAGTAGATGCATTTAGGAATCTTACTTACAACAGAACAGCAATGCATTTTATGGACGACCGTTTCGTGAACCTAGGAGAGGAGGTAATTCTGACTTTGCTATGACAATCTGGCGCCTCTGAATCAGCTACTGTTTTGTTATTAGCTAAAGTGCGTGCGTGCGCGCGTGTGTGTGTGTGAGAGAGAGAGACAGGGTCACAGTGGAGTCAGCTGTCTTAACCGTGGCTTGTGTACTGCAAACACATACCAGCTTCATCACTGTGTCTGTCACGCGACTCTGTTCCCCTTTCGGGCTCTGTCTTTACATTTATTTTGAAAGATGAAGCTCGAGATTATGGTAAGGGGCGTTACATTTCCGACAAGTGCTTGCGGTGTTCGGCCAATCACAATGCACTGGGTCAGCTGGCCAATCAGAGCAGACTGCGCTTGTCAGAAGGAGGGACTTTGTAGAAAACAAAGCGTTTGAGAGAGGCGGGGCATAGAGGACCTACAATAATGTACAGTATTTGAAAAATAATGTGTTTTTTGAACATTAAAGCATGTCAACATATTCTGTTACACCAAATAATGATCTTTAAAAAAGCATCATATGACCCCTTTAACATAGGTCCATATTAAAAAGAAGCAAAAGTTATTTTCTCTTAATGAACAAGCAAAGTCAACAAGCACAGGCTTGTTACGAATTGTGGGCCACAGGCTGCCAGCTCAGAGGGTGTTAGGTCCCTGGCTATTTATATTAATGGGGACGTGGTATGTTTGCATGAGTGAAGAGGCAAAACCAGAACTGGGCATATACATACTTGCCTAATTGCAAAGTTTTTTTTTTTTTTTAAATGAGCATGTATTTATTCTGCAAACATGTCAGACTGTACCTGCTCCTGCTGTAGTTCTCATGTCTGAGGATCTGTACTGGCCATATCCTCCCTGGCCTTGAGGAACAACATGGCCCTGAGGTTGAGCTGGTGGTCTCAGGTACTGGGCTCTCTGTGGGGTCTTGCTGCGCGTCATCATCTTGTGTTGGCTCGGTGTCGTGGGACAGGGAGGTTCTGTGGAGCCTGTTGCGGGATCGCCGAGCATATCGATGCCGTCCAGAGTGAAGTCCCATAATTCCGGGTCATCTAAGGAGAAGTGAGAAATGTTTCTATATTTCACCTTATTGCCTTTTCCTGTATTAAAACCTGAGCCACCAAAAGTCTTTCCACCAGATTAGTGAGACCTATCAAATGGAGAAAATATGAAAATTCTGTCATTTACTAATTCTTGTCATTTTAAAAGACAAAACGAGAAATTCATAAACACTGGCCATGCTTTATGGAATCGCAATGAAAGAGGACTGGCGTTTAAGCTTCAAAAAATGTTTGGAATTACAGAATTTTAATTTTGCTTAATATATCTTTAAAGCAGGGTTTTCAAACTTTGATGCCCCAAATATGACGATTCCCTTGCAAACCACCCTCAAAAATATAAACGCAGTCAAATATTTTTAATATGTATAAATAAATATAAATTTTATAAAGACGATGTAGTTTGCCAATTGAATATGTATACTATAAGTATATTATATAAGTATAACTTCTATAAATACTATACTAAAGCCAAAACAAAATATCAGAAAATTTATCTTTTTTTTATTATTTAAACTATTTTTCATCTTTATTTCCTACTGTAAAAACTGGTTGTCAGAATATATCACAGATAAAATTATGATTTCTGACCAGTGAAACCCAAACAATATCAGTACATTCTGTAACTGCTGAAAAACCATTGTTACCATTGCCACTGGCAGCCATAAAAATGTCTTCAAAACAAAAAAAATCTAAAAAAATTTAATATTTTTCATGAACACCCTAGGACAGTGGTTTCCAACCAGGGGACAGGACCCACTAGGTGCCCTCAGGATGACTCTTAAAATGACTTAAAGGAATACAGTATATAATAATACAAAATAAAAGAATCATTTTTTCCTCTAAATAAATCTGTTTGTTTCCCAGTTTCTGTTTATAAAAAATAAATAAAAATAAGCAGCATGGTTATTAACAATAGCAGAAATAATAGGTGGAAATATTTACTATACATGGTGGGGCTTTTGTAAAAAATTATGTTGGAAATGGAGGGCCACTGAGTCAAAAGGTTTGAGAACCACTGTCCCAACAGCCCCCTAGATCCCAGTTTGAAAAGTCCTGCTTTAAATCAGCCAGTATTTACCATCACTGTCACTGCTGATAATTTATATGTTCCCAGTGCACATGTACCATGACCACACCTTTCTTTAAAATAGTCCTTACCAGCCAGATACTCCTCCTGCTTAGTTGTCACCAGGTGTCCGTTTGGTGTACTGTGGTTAACAGGACCTACAGCCTGTCCTAAAACGATAAACCCACCGATGGAGAGCGCTACACACCTGACACTCCTGCAGGCAAAGGCTTGAATCTTTTATACTCGTTGCTAAAACATGAACCCTTAAATTTTCCATCACACCTTGCTTAGACGGTAGCGGCTCAGCGGAAGCGTTGGACTGCTGGCTTTTCTGCTCCTGTAGCAGCTTCTTAGCCTCCATTTCCTGTCTGAACTTTTGCTGCAGCTGCTGCTGTCTCAGCTTCCTCTGCTGCTTGGAGTCCAGTGGAGGATCGGACGAGGACAGGTCAGCCATGTCAGCTGCTGACCTAAGAAGCAGATTTATCATAAGTGCAGCTGGCTAGTGTTGTAGTTGAAGTTAGCACCAAATAAACTCACCTTGAGGTGTTGCTGGGCCTGTTTTCAGAGTCCTGGTGAGCTGATGTGTTGCCAGAATGTGCTGCCGTGTTTGTCAATGAAGTCCTGGATCCAGTGCGGCTCTCATGACCTCCTCGTACAGGGTGACTTCCTATCCGCTCTGAGGGGATGTTGGCTGGTTCCGCCAGTTTGATAAATTCCCTGCTGTTGGCTCGGGCCAGGCTGTCGAACCTGGCCTTCTCCACGGACGGCTCGCTATCACTGCGTTTGGTTTTGTCCAGGTCTAATGGAGGAGGTGGCTGAGATAACGGAATATACACCATATCTCAGGTACGGAAATTAAGAAATGTATTTAAACAAGTCAGAGTATCAACAAATTTGGCCCAAATGTTGACAGGATTACTTCTTACCTGCTTTGGTATTTTATTGATGGCTATGAGATACTCCTTATTCAGAATGCAATTTCCAAGTGCATTTCCAAAACACCTTATAAAATTGAAATAACAATTATATTAAAATTCAATAATAGCTATTATAGAAGGCATAGTGTATAGTCAGCTAATCTTTATCTCAAAATTAATCTTGACAGGGTGATCAGGAGCCTGATGTGATGTAGAAAGGTCTTGTATTATATCAAAGGGATTTTTTGCAGTAATAACTAGTTGACTATATATTATCCCGCTTATTATATGGCAGTGTTTCCCCTAGGTTTACGGCTTTTTAAAACGTTTTTTTAGAACCGTGCTTCACTGAAAGATACGCATGACAATCGCAGCTTCTGTCGAATCGCAATCTCGATTCCATTTCGATTTATCGTGCAGCCCTACCCTGGGCCTGGAATGTGAATTTTACCAGGGGAACCCCACCAAAATACGTGCATTTTACCCCCCAACATGATGTTTACCGGGGGACCCCTCTCGAAATGCCATTGAGCTAGTTTTGAGTAGAAATTGGGTGGGTTTTGTTGTGAAAACCTGGCAACCCTGTGCTCAAGAAACATTTCTTACTAGTATCAGTATTTATTGGAAATTTTACTAAAAACAAAAAGCCCTGACCACAGAATGCCACAACTGACCAATCAGAATCAAGTATACATAGCAGCAGAAATAATTACTTGAGTGCTCTTTTCAGTCCATCTGTGACGGCTTCTTTTCTTGCTTTTTCCAGTGACAGAGCTTTAGATTTGAGGCCTTCACTCACCCCATATCCTACATCCTCATGGTACGAGCCATCCTGTGGAGAAGACACTGAAGAAATGGTATGCTCCTCACAATGCTGTCTGTCTTGTCGAGAAGAGCTCTTACCTTTAACTGAACCTTCACAAAGGCACTGACTCCAACATAAAACTTCCCATTGATCAGGTCCACAAAGTCTGTAACACAAGATTGACCAGTCTCTTTAAAAATAAGCAACAAACCCTAAACTAATCCTGAAACCTGATGTGAATGCAACATTAAAGGGAATGTTTGAGAATGTGCATGTTGTTATAAATACGGTGTCCTTACCAACATTTTGTTGAGATATTGAGTGCGACCATCCATTATAACCAAACATTTCATTGGCCAGACTTATAACTTTGTGACCTTCAATATAGCACACCTGCAAAAAAAAAAAAAAAAAGACAAAAGGTCTAATAATATGAATAACAGCAAGATAATCAACTTTATATTAGATCAGCAAGGCTAAATAATATTGATAAGTGTACATTAAGTGCATTAATTCTCACCTTTTGCCCTCCTCCAGCCGGTCTGGTGCTGATATATTCAGGTCCGAGTTTCTGCCGTAGAGCATTCTGGACTGCCTGATACTCCTCTGCAGTGTATGCATACTACAACAGACAATAAGCACTAAGAAATAACTCTGGATATATTACTATATTAGTACATTATAAACCGTGTGTTTCTGTAGCTATTAACATAGTATCAAAATGACCGACACACATGTCCCCAAAACACATACCTGCCCAAAACACGTGTGGGTTGTAAGAGGTTTCCTCTCCTCTTGCCTCCCACAGTGATCCATGTGTTTTCTGATCGCTCAAAAGCCGTCAATATTCTCTTTTAAACGATGCTGAATGCGTATAATGTGAGTGGAGATCGCTGAAATGTAACAACAGGAAGTCTGACACAACATTACGCGCTAACTTACGCCCATAGCGAGTTACCACTTACCCCGCTCTCTGTTGAGCAGACAAACTGGACTGGTGAGCGTTCAGTCAAAGTTACTATAGCAACGTTCTGATATAAAAATCGAATTCCGAGCAGCAGAATTCTATGGTCTTGAAGAACGTTTGTATATTCCCGCGTTAGAACGTTTACGCCGCCCCGCCCATTCACTCGTGCGTACTACGTCATAAAGACTGAGATATCCAGTGTGTGTGTAGAGTTAAGAATCTCCCTTTTTATGGTGAATAAAAAAAAATCACCATATATGTTTTATAAATGCATGTTATAGAATTTATTGTGAACAATTCTTCCGTGCACATGTTTCATTTAAAAAAATCTAGTCATGTTTAATCAAAATGCCATAACTGTTTTCTGTTGGTAAAAACAACAGATAAATAGAACTCTCTGGTGATATATACAGGATTTCTCCAATCATTTAATCGTCTTAAACTCCGCCCCTTCATGTTTATGTTCACCTGTCACCATTTTGAAAGCAACGCACACTTCTCAACATCCAATCAACTACCGATGCATAGAAACAAGTCCCCACCCTACTTTTTTACCCTCCATATTCCGATATTCCTTTCCGATATTCGATCATCAGTTACACTCTAATGTAACTTCAATTTAATCGTGACTATAAAAAGATTTGTTCAAAGATTTCTTCAGTGGAAATTTCTTGTCAGTTGCTGCATTGTGCCAACAGGGGGCGACAAATAAAGTATTTTTGTACAATAATAATAATAATTATTATTGTTGTTCATTTATATTTTTAAAACACAAATTCTGTGACGAATTATCATTCAGTTTTGGCCTGCAAATTAATGTCATGACTAAAAAGCTCAATTTAATTTAAGTCCGGTTTATCTGAATTCTGCTCCGCCTCTTTAAGATAAACCGCTGGTGTGCTAAATTATATCCCTGTCACGGTCAACTCAGCAGGGATTATCTAAATCTAAATTAGGGATCCAAATAAAGATTGCCGCCCTGTTATTGGATTGAATATGGATTTCATTAGCCTATATATGGCTTCCTGCTGAGCTTGAACATTGAGCTCATAAAGCGAAACGGAAACATCATTTGCTTTACTAAAATATTATCATATCAAGCATTAATTTCATTTAGTCTCAAGCACATCTCAACCCCTCGCACAATGGCGCGCGTGCACGTGTTGGGGCGTGAACGCGCCACAGTCTGGACTGGCGTCTGGTCAGACAGTCTGCGACTCGTGAAGCAAATAGGAGGGGCAAGTATTGGGGATGCCACAGGAATGATCCATTAACCCCGCACAGCCCACATCCGCATTTATGGATTAGTTTCTCCTGAAGTGAAAGCCGTCATATTTATTGTTTTCGTCATCACTGAAGTTACTTAAATATCCCCACTTTGCACGCGGAGCACATGACGGTGAGTGGAAACATTGTTACGATGCACTACTGTTTGTGTGGAGTGTTAGAGCCGGGAGTTTTATGTTAAACTGCGTTTTCCCCCCTGGATGAATGGTGCATTGTTGCGCTGTTTGTAAATAACAATCGTGCCATGATCACCGTAAGGTACATTGAGTACCCAGTGCGTCAATCCCGCCATGAATAACTTACAGCTAGTGATGGAACATGTAACCAACAGAAAATGATGCATTGAAACACGGCCAGCTGGGTTGCTTGATTCGTATCGCGTTTTAATAGAACAGTCAAGCGAGATTTGTTAGTCCAGAATGTGAAGTGATGCCCTTCCTCTCAAACAGGCTTCTCAGGTTTACCCAGACGTCGTCGTTTTAACTGTCTGCACTTTGGAGAGGGAAATACACTCCTCCTGCTCCTCTAACACAGCGTGGCTCGTGTCCTGGCACGTTCAGTGAACAAAGGGAAACTGACATGACGCTTCAGGGAAAGTGGAACATAAAGCAAAGTCACATATTATTTAGGTCGAGGCTGTTGAGATGCGTTTGTGTGTGTGTGTTTTTTTTCTTTCTTTTTTTTTTTCTTTTCAAAGAGGCCATAAAAAGCTCTTACGGCCGCGTGAGCAAATGATGACAGACTGATGCAAGACAAGTCTTTTGTTGTAGTAGCCTATTTCTTTTGGAAGCTTCCCAGATGGTCCAGTAGGAGGCGCGGGATGAATTGTGTTGCTGAGGAACACATGGAGAATGAATAACGTAAACAAGCACATCGATCTTTGCTTTAACAGCAGCCGAAATGAATCAAATTTGGGGAATCTTCAAAAGAGTAATGGTTAAAAAAAGATTTTTTTTTTACTGTAGTTCGCTTGTAACATGGCCTCATAATCGAGACTGATTACCAAATGCTTGCATCAGGGAGTTGTGAAATTTAAAGGGATAGTTCACTTAAAATTGAAAATTCTGTTGTCATTACACACCCTCATGTCGTTCCAAACCAGGGGTGTGTTTCCCCAAAGCATCCTTAGCTAACTATTGTGGTAAGTTCCATTGATTGAACCCTATTTGTAACCATAGTTGCTTTTGGGAAATGCACCCCTGTATGAGATAAAATTAGATTTTTTTTAAGTCCATGCTGGTCGCTCTTTTCTTTGCAATTACAATGAATGGAGACTTGATCTTCAAAATGAATTTGAGAACCGGATCAGTTCGATTTGAGAACAAATCATTCAGATGGATCAACCGATTCTTTGTAACGAAAATAAAGGCTAGTTAAAGGGATACTTCACCCGAAAATGACACTTTTTTTGTCATCATTTGCTCACCCTCAAGTTTTTCCAAACTTGTATTATTTTCTTTCTGTATTTTGAAGAATGATATTTTGAGGAATGTTGTTAAACCAAAATTTGACAGTAGCTATTCACTTCCATTGTATGGAAAAATACTCGTAAGACCTTTGTTCATCTTCAGAACACAAATTAAGTTATTTTTTATGAAATCCGAGAGCTTTCTGACCCTGCATAGACAGCCAGGCAACTGATTCGTTCAAGGCCCAGAAAGGTAGTAAGGACATCATTAAAATAGTCCATGTGACATCAGTGATTCAACCTTAATTTTATGAAGCCACGAGAATATTTTTGTGCGCAAAGAAAACAAAAATAATGACTTTATTCAACAATATTTTCTCTTCCGTGTCAGTCTTCAATGAGCGCTCACGAGAGTACCACGTGTGTTGTGGTGCTGCTGACGCAGGAGCCGGCGTTCTAACATAAAACCCGGATGCGCTGCGCTTTGTTTACAAGCAGAGGAAGACACACGCTGTACGTAAAACAGTCTTCGTAAACATGTCTGAAGATTTTGACAGAGGATGACTTACAATTTTTTGACCAGCCTTACTTATTCGAACCAGAATATACAGATGAAGAGAGATGGACGTTCTACGTCAGAATATGCATAAAAAAAATATTCTTGTAGCTTCATTAAATTTCGGTTGAACCACTGATGCCACGTGTGTTGTGGTGCTGCTGACGCAGGAGCCGGCGTTCTAACATAAAACCCGGATGCGCTGTGCTTTGTTTACAAGCAGAGGAAGACGCACGCTGTACGTAAAACAGTCTTCGTAAACATGTCCGAAGATTTTGACAGAGGATGACTTACAATTTTTTGCCCAGCCTTACTTATTCGAACCAGAATATACAGATGAAGAGAGATGGACGTTCTACGTCAGAATATGCATAAAAAAAATATTCTTGTAGCTTCATAAAATTTCGGTTGAACCACTGATGTCACATGGACTATTTTAACGATGTCCTTACTACCGTTCTGGGTCTTGAACGTGTCAGTTGTGTTGCTGTCTATGCAGGGTCAGAAAGCTCTCGGATATCATCACAAATAACTTAATTTGTGTGCCGAAGATGAACAAGGTCTTACAGGTTTGGAACAACGAGGGTGAGTAATTAATGCAGAATTTTCATTTTTGGTGATCTAATTCCTTAAAGATGCATTCATGAGTTATGCGGGAGCAGCCACCACAACACGCTCTCATTTTGTCTCTTTCTTCGTCCATTTGTGTTATCAGAAGGACCAGAGATGTTCTGAATGAAAGAAGGATCTGGCAGCCTTTCGATAACAATGCTGGAGAACTTGAGCGGAGCCCACATTGATCGACCCGCCCCTAGATCATCTACATTCAGCTTCTCTGCTCTGTTTGCTCTGCCACACCACCTTCACATGGATGGGAGCAGTCATCCATTCCGGAGGTAAAACTGATGCTGTGAACAGAACTATTAACACACTCACATCCTGTTATTCATACTCATATCCTCTTATTTGTTTGTGATGTCCTTTGTTTTCCTGTATACTCTAAATAAGCCATATTCCAAAATGTTCTCACAATGTGTGACATTCCTCAATTTACCACCTGCTGAGGGAGTCACTTTGTGTATATTTCTTTAGTATCAGTATGATGCCACAGGAGATTACTTAGTTCCAAGTATCAAAATGGGTTAATCAATATTAATGTAAATTCAATGAGTCAGACAGGGCCAGTGAGAAATGGATCCAAATTTTCCAGACTAAAATCAATAGAGTACAGTCACCAGTGCAGTTTGTAATATTTATTTTTCATACTTTTATAAAAGTTTATATA